ATAAAAGAGAGATGCATGACTTGTGCAAATGTCTCTCAAATCCAGAACTTCAACACATGGACTCATTCTTTGACTCAATTATTAACTGAATTGAATTTTCATGAATGAAAATGCATCTACTTTTGATTCCAGGATCTTATTCATTTTTACTGACACCCAAGTACTAGGTTCAGATGGTTAACCCCAAAATCACAAGAGGAACCATGAACAGCTTCAAATTGTAAATGTGAAGTCTGCAGAAAGTTGCTTAACCCCTTGCCTTCTATATCAGATCCTTTCACTCTCAATGAATCATGGTCCTTCATAGTCTAGTTATCAATTACTTCAGCTTTATTTATTCAAACATTTTTCGCCCGATAAAAATAATGAAAAAGCAAAAGAATATACTAGAAGTTAAGAAATGTGTCCATACTTGAGTTGATTCTGTAAACTCCTGAAATGGGATTCCCCATTGAATTCAAATAATTTTGAGATGAATAAAATATTTAATTAATGATAGGGTTCACAAGCTCTAGTTAGAGGAAACGGAAGCAGTCGTACATGTGGCTGGGGTCCCAGAAAAGGGCTCCATGTGTATGTACCTTTCAACCCTTTTATCAATGGGTAAGACCTGTTAATGGGCCGGGCTCGGCCTTACTTTTTGCCAAAATTTGAACGGGCCCAGCCCATCAACAGGTCTATTTGTGGGCAACCTACACCCATTTTTTAAGTTAATAAATTGAAAGTTTGAATGGTAGGCTTCAATTTTCTATATATTTCTTTCATGTGGCAGAAATAGGTAGGGTTGTCATAACTCATATGCCTCAGAATACAAAGCTGATCTCGGTATAAGGCCAGCACTCAGCAGAGGCCAATGTGCTTTATAATTTGTATTGAGACTTGAGGGCGACTACAGATTCATATCATCATAAATACATGAATAATCCTTTTTGAGCCAGTGATTCAAATATCACCACCAGAAGAGTTTTTAATACATTAATTCATCTTTTACACTAGAAGCCTTTAGGCGTACGTAAAAAAAAAAAAAATCTTTTACACGAATAAATATTAACAAAAAAAAACTCAATATTTGCAATCTCAAGTTATTAACAGAACTTGTCGGTTGGGTGTGTGTGGAGAGAGAGAAAGAGAGATTTCATGTGGGGATCAAAATCTCACCATCTTCATCTCCGTATCCATGAAAGCTCCTCCATGAAATGATACCCAATGTAAATACCATAAGAAGAATAGCAAGCCAACCCATTACAACAATCAATCTCCCTTCATAACCACCCCCACCATTTGCAGCAATTCTCTTCTCCTCGACACCCACTCCATTTTTTTCTCTCTCCACTTTCTCCACACCCACCGCCAATTTCTCCTTCTCTTGCTCCACAAACGGACAAGTCGAAGAGTTGAAATAACCACTCACCGATCGGGGGTCATCTTCTTTATCATCGTCATCATTGTCAACATGAATAGAAGAAGCATAGAGAGACTTTATTTCACTGGCTTGATTCAAAACGGAAGAGCAAACACTGCAAATCTCATCTTCCCCTCTACAGCCCATTTTACTTGCATCCTCCAGGGCGTCGAAGAGGCTCCTCCCCATCAATTTACAGCTCTCCATTGCCACCCTTCTATCTCTGAGTATCTCTTTCAATACCAAATCGTTCTTTCTCACCTTCCGTCCTCCCTCTGAAGGAGAGTTTCTGTGTCGAAGAGAAGAGATGACATTCTTGGTTGAAGTTTCCGACAGTTGGAGAATATTATTAGTGGTAGATTTGGCTTCGGCTGAATGTGGATATAGGCGTTCTCGATTGGGTCGTTTGTAGTTGTAGGAGTGCCACTCCTGCTCTAGATTCTTGAATTGCTGTTGCAGTTCGCCTTCTTGTTCTTGTGATCCTCTCATGGTTTGTATCTCTATCTATCCCTATTTTTCTCTGTTACAAGACTTACGGCTTATTCCTAGCCTTAAAGGAACCCATCTTCGTACTACTCCGATATTAGCTCATCTTTTTCGGTTGTTCCCTTATAAAAATAAAAGTAAATTAACAGTCCATGTTGATGAGAAACTCTTACAAAAAATAAAAACTTAAACGTGGATTTATGAAAGACGGTTACGTGGTACAAATAACACCGTTGTTTCTCTAACGGCTATTATGAGGGGGCTGTAATTTGGTTTGGACTCTTAACGGCAACAAGGTGGTGAATGTTCCACCTTAATAATTCAGTCCTATAAGAACACCTCTCATGCAATTGCACATGTTACAATGGCGGATGCCTTTATCACAGATTCACAGGACTATGAAGTAGGTTCTTCCGATTGAATTGGGCTTATTAAGGGATCACCTACTACGTACTAAACACAGATTAGATGCCTTTCGACCATCTGACCCTTTAATTGTCTTTGGAGCTCAGTCTTTCCTTTCTAGCTCCTATAACGAGTGGAATGGAATAACTCATGAATACTTGTGCAAGTAATCTGATCATGCTTATCATTGTTTTGTTAGTGCTTGGTTGCCAATATCAATGTATAAATTCATCGATTATCGAAGGATATGGCTCACCCACAGTAATTGACCAATTCAGATGATAGATCTATTTTTTATAAATACATGATGAATTCTTGATTTCCTGCACTTGTTCTGCATTTTGTGCTGCACTTACATCCATATTAAGCTATGCCAGCTGTACAGGAATAGAGTGGCTAACCGTGCGACAGTTGAGGGAAAGGATTCGTACGTTTACCTCCGTTAATAAATTTTTTTTTTAATTTTAATTTTGTATTAAAAAATACAATCTCTACTGTGTTTAAAAATATATATTAGTCGAAACACAACTTTGACCTAGCTTTTGTGGTTTATATCTTGAAGTCTTTAGATTTGTTTATAACAATGGCAGATGAAGTGATTCTATTAGATTTTTAACCAAGCCCTTTTGCGATGAAGGCAAGAATCACTTTGGTTAAGAAGGGCAGATAATTAAAAGGGGAATTATGAAAAGAGAAATTAGGACCCCCAAAATAAGAGCCTCTATTGCTAAAAATGAGCTCCACTCGCAAGAATCGATTTATAATGGGAAACCCATCTGTGGATCACTCATTATGTTCAGTACATTGGTGAGGTCTAAAAAGGATAAATGCCCATTGTTGCCATCGGATCCATTCAAGCAACCAAAATACGTTTCTTATGTTACTTTAATCACATGTTCCTTGCAAAGTTTCCTTCCTCATCTCTAGAACACTTGGTCAGATCCATAATTTGAGATTTCACCAGGATAACGTCCCTCGGCCTGTTCAAATTTTCCTGTCACTGCATAAAAAAGGCCTAAGCTCAGTCATTCTTCTGCAGTAATCAAGTGATGTTTCTGAGTTTCCAAACAACACTATAGAATGTACCTTTTATTTTAAATGCAATACCACTTCTTTCTAAAGCTGAAGTGCTGAACAACTTCCTAATTTTCTCTTCACCCATATGCAATACAGACATACATTTTCTATTCACCTAGATCTATTAACAACAAAAAGTCAAAAACAATAAAGTTTGAGGTATCATTAGCTAAAATGATAGTGATATTATGTCTAAACCAAGGATTAAATTATCAGTATCAGGTATCGTACCGAACAACATGGATATGGATACGGATAAGAATACGCTTGAGAAACGCATGGATATGGATGAAAAATATAAAAATGCTTGGATACGCCAAGGAAATGCATATAAATTCAATAATTATATTAGTAACTTCAAGTTTAATGTCAAAATAACTATAAATAACATATAAATGCATAGGAATTGTATATTTTAATGGTATATCTGAAGAAATATATTATTATTGATATAATGGGATGTATAGATATTATACAATTTTATTAATAATGCATCAATTTTTATTTTTATTAAAATCCAAGGCACAAAAAATATGCAACCATTATATTTGAATTATTATATCAATTATTTTTATTTTACTATTTAAATTTTTAACATCAACAAAAAATTCAACTAAAAATTAATTCAAAAATGTTCGGTAAATAATACTCACTTTTGTAAACAATAAATATGTTTATATAAAATGTAAATAAAATTTTGAAGATGCATATCATATGAAAATTCATAAATTTTAATTACTAAAATAATTGTTCATTATTAATATTTTTTATTTTTATGAATTTTTTAAAATAAAAAAATTAATTTTTATTCAAATATAGATTAGTGGGTTTGGTAGATTCAATTTATATTATATTCTCAAATGTTTTATAAACAATATTTTATCTTTGTAATAATAAATACATTGTTATTTAATTCATGAAATGTTAATTAATAATTTATAAAATAATTATTATAATTTATCAAGTCTACATAAATAATTCTAAATATTAAAATAATTATTCTATTAATAATATTTTTATTTGTATAAATATATTGAAATTAAAAATCATATATGGATTTGATAAATTATTTATTTTATTGTTTTATAAAATAATAATTTTGAATATTATTCTTGTTAATTTGTACTTGGAGTAATTGAATATTCTATTTGTTTAGATTAAATGTAATAATCAATGTAAATAAAAGCATTATTTCATTCATTATCACAAAATGGAAGGTGGCTTGATGGTTAAGATCCTTGCACTCTTGAACGTGCAAGAGCGTGTATCGGCCAATACGCTGCAATACGTGCTGATACAATGGTATATCAAACCGATATAAACGACTAACACGATAGTGTCAATCGTGGTGTGTCCGATATCTTTCCCTATGGATACCAATACGATACACCCCATATTGAGCGTATCGTGTCAATATTTTAATCTACCTACTCCAAACTCTGAGGTCTGAAATTCTCTTATATCTGAATTACATGATTACATCAAGTCCACATTGCTGGCCACGTTCGCCCAGCGGCACGTCCCGGTGTTTTAACCATGAATGGATCACCGAAAGCAAGTAAACAACCTCACATTTAACCAGGCAGCTTCTTAATATCAAGCCATGAGAAATACATAGCTTAAAAGTTCATAGTATGAAAAACAGGAATTCACTAAGAAAATACTGCGAATTTAGAGAAACATTAAGATATTCATGTATACCACCACTATACCCTAGAAAATCAAAATATCAATTTCGATCTTTAACATTGATAATTTCTGGACTTTTTATTTCTTAATTTACTTTTGCCCTCATCTCCCCCTGCCGTCACCACCATTCTCTTGGATTACAATGTCGAATGACAACCTTCTATCATTTTAGGCAGAGCAAATACAATTTATGAATCTCTAAATGCTTAGATGGCGATCTACAAAATTCTGTGCTCAGTCCTATTTTGGCATATATAGCCGAGCACTCCCTATAATGAGTTTATTCCATATGGCAAAACTGAATCCCCCCCCCCTCAACAGAAGAGATTTAAATCATATACAGTATAATAAACTACAAAGTCGCATCAATCTGAAAGGGTATATCATCGTACCCCATTTGCTACTTGAAAGAGTAAGTCGCACTGCGCGTTCTGGTAAGAAAAGATGCATTTAGGCTAGGGAGCTTCCATCCAGACTGACGGGAACTTGAAGAGCAATTGCTTTTATCTTCTGAAACACGGGTCGCATTTGGAACTTCAGGTTGGATTGATGAAGTAGTTGAATCTGAAATTCCTTGTAGCTCCTGATACAGGTTAGCTAAAATTTAACACATGGTGCATGGATGTATTGAAGAGCTATAATATATTGGAGTTGAAACTAAAAGGACGTAAAAATAAAATGGAATTAAAACCTTCAAGCCTGACGCTGGGACAGCATTCTGTAGTGGACGTGACAGCTGCACAAGGGAAATCTAATTAGATAATCAATTTCACTCTTATAAACATAATGAAATCACATGTGAGGTGTGAAGATCTATAGATTAGGATGAATGGGCCGACATGGGTCTCAGTAGGAGATTAGTACCAAACCTGTTCATGGGCCTGGCTCGGGCATAGCTTTTGTCAAAAATATGAATATGCCCAACCCAAAGACTGAGCCCAAAGCCCAGCCCATGAACAGGTCTAGTCACCACTCACCAGATCAAACTGATTTAATTATTAATCCTGGTTTTTCCCCTTGAGTCCTTGACTGCCTCTATACCCTGGCCACCTGAAATATTGCAGCAGGATAGCTTGCTGCAACCATTTGATGCACTACTACACATTTAAAAAGTCTACAAACCTTGGGAGATTCATTTGATGCAGGTGGAGACGGAGGTTCCAGAGATAGAACTTTTGCTGGCAAAGACTCAGTCTGCCAATGACAAAAGGAGTAACAAGGTAATGGAGGAAGTGATCAAGTAATGCACACAAAAAGCATAATTGATTAAAAGCAACTGTTTCAACATCCCCTCAGAAACAAACCTACTTTTCATTATAAATAGTTTATAACTTTATATTAGTTTACCTTCCTTTTTATCAGTTCTATATTCTTGCAGGAGAAAAACCTGGGGATTTTAGAAAAGATGGAACAATCTGATTGCTGCAAATGTAGTGACTTGTTGAGCTAAATGATACCCGAATACATGTAACTAGTGACTTGTTGAGCTAAATGCTTCAATATACCTTGTTTACCCATTTCCTTGCTCTATCTGGACATGATGGAGATACAACACTAGAAAAAACAGCCTGGGATACATTGTGAGCTATGATACCCGAATACATGTAACTAGTGACTTGTTGAGTTAAATGCTTCAATATTCACCTTGTTTACCCATTTCCTGGTTCTATCTGGACATGATGGAGATACAACACTAAGAAAAAACAGCCTGGTAGGAAGGAATCATCATCCAACCCAACAGTGTATACTATTTGTCTGAGTAAAGTGGATCCTGATTCCCTTTCTTTTTTATAATAACAAAAAAAAAAAAAAAACTTTATGCAAGTGAAAGATGATGCATAAGGTGAAGAGATTTGAGAAATAAAAAAAAATGTTTTGAAACAAGGCACAAGATTTTTTAAAAATCCAAAAAAGCAAAAGAATAAAAAAATGTAAAAAAAAGTTCAAAATAAATAAAAAATTAAAATAGTATAAATTTCTAAAAATACAAACTTAAATTTTAAACAAATGTTTTAAAAATTCTATTGGCTCAAATTAAAATTAAAACAAAATATGTAAAAAATAAAAGCAATTATGACATAAAACATATTCAAACATGTGAAACTGTTTTTTTTTTTTATGCTCCATGGGGGGTGGGGGTACACAATGGGGGGTAACCCATCCTTCAACCCATAACCCCCCAAACCTTGGTGCAGGTGGGATTCAATCCCAAGCCTCCGCTACAACCAGTAGGAGGCCTTACCAATCAGCCAGTTGACACATTAAACATGAGAAACTGTCAATCTTTTTATTTCTTTTCCAGTCACATTTCTTCAAATAGCTAATGTACTCTTAATTCTACAAGCCACCTTTGTACCAAGTCCCTTGAGGCAACACCAAAAAAGCCCATATTAGGATCTTAAATTCTTAAGCCATACATAAAAATATTGGTTTTGTAATTGTAATTTTAGTTCCATATCCTTTGAAAATTTTATTGTATTAAAAGATGAATGAACCATGTTAGCATAAAATATTGGTTTCTCTTAAATGGATACTTACCCTTGATGTTGGTGTAATTTGTGGAAGTTCAAAAGGCAACCTGGAAGAACTTGATGAGGATGCCTGTAGGGCAGAAACAGCACAATAAGAGAAAGTAGGTGTTTTTTTTTCCTTTTCCTTTTTTTTTTGTGTGTGTGTGTGGTGGGGGGAGCTCTAAAGAACAATCTGAACATTCAACATTCAATTAAGAAATATGAACATCTGTGTAAATCATGAAGAGAAAGTTGTGCTTACTAAGTGTTAAATTTGACAGCATGAATTAGGTATATTTAAAATATTATGCCGCCATGATAAGTATATTTAAAATATTATGCAGCCATGATTTATCCCAAAAAAAATATTATGAAGCCATGATAAGTAGCAAGTATAAACCACAAAATATAACATGACAGATCAAATAATATCCATGGAAGGGCGTGGGGGAGGAGGAGTTTAATTCATGCCTGAATGCGGTCAGTAGGTCTGCTGTTCTCCAAGTTCCAGACAAAATTACACAATCTTTTAACTCCTTCATTAGTAAGATCCTGAAACAAATTTTGATAATGAAATGTAAAGAATCATAGATAACTTTGGGAATGTTCTTTTGTGAAAATTAAAAGAAGTACCTGTTTCCCTTCTATTCTACCAATTTTTATCTCCTGTGACAATAAACAGCTTGCATAAGATGTTCCTCCATCCAAAGACCAACATATATACATTTTTAACCAACAGAAAAATGTGTGTTCAAATTAGAGGAGTAGAGTTCAGTCACCAGAGTTTGGACAACACGATGAACAGACTCAACATCCACGCCTAACATCTTCAGATCTCCTTGTAGTTGGGAAACCTACAAGGGTAGATTTACATATCGTTCATTCTGCACTTAATTTGAAAACTACTAAAAGAGAAAGACCTTGTGATTAGAGTAAAGCAAAGCTGATCCCACCTCCTCTCTGGTAGCAGCAGTAATTTCTGCACACTCATCTAAATTACTATCTACACGGTCAATTCTTGAAGATAGATGTCGCTTGGCAGCCTGTAAAGACGAGCAAATTTAGTCTAAGCAGTGGAAGTGTAAAATAGATTCTTGATAACATTTTGCTGTTCTATGTAAGAAAGACAATGTGGTTAACCAAGAGATAAATATTCCCTTTTTATCTTTTTTTTCTTTTTCCTACTTATCTTAAACAGGCTATTTTGGTTCCTTAGAAGGCAAGTAAGAAAATTTTCTTCTCACTTTCCAGGGAACCAAATCCACAAGGACACTTGGGTAATAAAAGATAAAGAGACTCTCCCATACAAAGCAAGGAGTTAACAGGGAACAACTTTTTGGGGCTGACTTATAATGGGAGATACAATGGATTAGATAATCTAATTTAAATATAATTTCATTACATTTAAATGTAATGGGAGATATAATTTAAATTGTAATGCTGGACTATCTGATTCATCAAAGACAACTCTTTTTAATTTCTTTTATTTATTTATGATTTTGATGAGTAGTTGCAAGAAATTTACCAAAAAAATGTAGTTGCAAGAACTTTCTTGATCCAGCTCTTTTTATGAATTGTTAAAAGAACATTACAATGGAAGAACAGGGAAATCCAACTGTATCTAGGATGAACCCTTCTGTTGGATGATCTCATTGAGTGTGCCTCACAAGGGTTCACCGTTCACCTTAATCATAGAGGATAGTAAATCCTAATATGCTTGGAACAAGAAAATCATTTAAGTTTATACCTTTTTTTAGTAAAAGGTATGGGCAACCCTTTTCTTTTTCAACATTTTGTTGAGTGCTCCCAAAAGAAATGTACTTCAACTTAATTTTGATGCTGTTGTACATGGTATTCAAGTGCTAACTTTTTTAAATGTAAATTACATTTAAATGCAATAACAGAAATTTAAATGTAACAAATTAAAGTATAAATTAATGAAAGTAATTACTGTTGCTGATCAGAGAGAGAGAGAGTCCCATACACCAAAAGTTTGTCAACACTTTGGTGAATTAGATAATCCAATCATCCCAAAACACAGACTGCGGTTTGGAATGTACTTATGTATCCATTCCTTTTTTTTTCTGATTGGTTGTTTGAATTCTCTTAAACTCAAGTACAACCATGATACTTTTCTTTTACTGCTTCCGTACTTCTAATTTCTAAAATCTTACAATCAATCAGTCAATAAACTGCCTAAATAACCATTATATTCAGTATGTAAAGTGTCAGGCCTAATCATACAGCTGGAACTTGGACACAAGTACAATGTAATTTGTTCTTGAGAACCACCTGAATCAAAAGAGATGTGCTGCGTAACTTTAGACCTAGAACAAATTATCTCGAAAACGAGATAAATTGCATTCTAAATAAAGCAACAAGAAATGAAATAATTCAATCTGAAGTTTTTGTTTAGATGGTTACTGAGATAAGTTAATGTAGTTCAATTGTATTTGGTTCGCTCAGAACTTCTTTGCTAAAAAGCCATGTTTACCTAGAGGTGAAGGATGACAAAGGAGAATCAAGTGAAGTATATGGTCTGATTGGAGTTGGTCTTTGCCCAGCAAAGAGAAATCTTTCTTCTGCTCCTTTTCCCCAATACCATGTTTGGTTGTGAAGAAAGAAAGCAGGAGAAGGAAGAGAAACAAGAAAAAGAGATAAGCAAATAAATATTTTACTTTTAGGAATAGACAAAATATAATGTAAGTGCCACTTATGAAAAGAAGTAAAAGATGATATTCAAATCTAGATCCAGAAAAAAATAAAACCTCATTAGCGTAAATGATTGGAACATCATGTTATTGACGTTCTCCACTTTTACATGATCAAATATATGCATTTATAGTAAAGAAAAAATGTCATTGTAACAATCAAGTATAACTTGAACAGAAATGTATCTTGATACCAAATATTCAAGGAAGAAGACCCAAAAAATAAATGGAAAACTTGCCGTAATAGATGAAGAAACTTGCTCAAGTTGCTTAGCAACAGTTGTGCAAGCATCAGATAAGCTGCGTCTTGTTGCAAACATCATGTCAGATAGCTTCCAGCCCTGAAAAAGTTCAGAGAAGCAATGACTTACAGCATCAGATAACTGCAAAAGAAACAGCTACCAGAAAATAGTCTCCATGATGGACCATCTGATGCAAATATCTCTCAAGTATGATAGTAACAAATAAAAAAATTGGGAAAATGCTACAGGATACCTGGACATATGTATGTATTTTGCAATTTGCATACCTACATCTTATCAGTTTCAGATTTTCTTTTTATTTTTTTATAAGAAAAGGTAAAAGAAAAGTGGACAGGTTTCTGAGATTTCTGAGAAGCCTACAACACTGGGGGTAGCAGAAAAAAAAAGGTGTCAACAGACATTCCAAACTATCGAGTCCTGCCTGCTAACACTTAGCAGCACAGTTACTTAATCATGCTAGTGATGCTCTAAGAAAAAGCTTTTAAAAAGTCGTAAAAAAAGTTTTGCCTCCGCAATTGTGTCATGGGAAAGAATATATCCAATGAAGTGCGGAGACAGAGAGTTTCTGGGTTCTTTTTCTTTTTATGTTCTTTTTCATTGATTTCTTCTTTATGTCCTTTTTTTTTATAAGCTTCTTTATGCTCTTGTTTTAATATAGTTTTATATTATTTAGGTAATTTAGTATTTCTTAGCTATTTCCCCATGCCACAATTTCTAGAAGTTGGCACTCCTGACACTTGTGTACACCTAAATACTTTGCCTTCATACCACATGGTAACTTATCTTTCCCTATTCCCCAATTATAGCTGCATTTATATCTTTTAGTAGCAATCCATGGCTTCAGTTGTCTTTTAGTCAAATCATGTGGATGGTATTTTGTTTTTGTTGGGATTGTTAAGCCCTTCAACCAGCTATACAAAAAGACATAAGAAAGCCTAAGCTCAGCAAACACTCTCCCTTTTGAAGGGGTGAACTCTATGGCTCTACCAACTCATGAAAACACCCAACCCACAAGTGAAGCTAGTTAACTCTCAGCTTGTATACAGCCCAACAATAAATATGTATGATATCTTGACTAGAGGGTGATAATATTTTGGTTGAAAACAAAAATTCCAGTTCTGGTATCCGGTTTTAACTGAAATAACCAAATAAGAAATTTGGTCCGGTTCCTTCAGTGTTTCCTTAATTAACTGGCATGCATAAATTAAATTTCACAAAAAGGTCTCACGTTCTAAGAGTTATGAGACATAACAGAGCTCTTAAAAAGAGGAGATCAATTACCTTCCACCACATATACCCATATCCTACAACTACAACAAGAACAACTGGCACACCATAGAACTTGGAACCTGCATATGATGGAAACTGGTTAAAGTATATCCTAAATCAGTAGAGTAACACAGATTAAGCATTACTAATGCTTCTAAAATAAGATGAGTAAGAAAGGGTGCATTTCTTTAGATGCTAAGCAGGGGGAAATAAATAGAAAAGAAAAAGGCCGAAAGGCATACAATATGTACATAAGCAAGTAAAAAGGCAACTACAGCCCCCCCCCCCCCAAAAAAAAAACAAGAGTGCCTAGTTGACTGGGTAATGCTTATGATGCCTTCTGTTGCGTATCTGATTCATTAACTGAAATAGGGTTATCACAGTGATTTAAGAGGCACGCCTAGGCACACAGGCGAGGCGCATTTCAAGGTATGTGCCTCATCTAGGCCCAAGGGAAACCCCATTAAAAATGCACCTCACCTGGGCAAGGTACATTCATTCTTCTTAATACAAAACATTTTTTATAAGATAATTAAAAATATGAAACCATTTTTTGTAGGGATTAAGAATTTAAGACCCTACCATGGACTTGTTTGGTCTTGCCTCAAGGGGCTTGGTACAGAGGTGGCTTTAGAATTAGGAATCAAAGATGTTTAACATCACATTGGCTATTAGAAATAATGCAATTGATTAGAAATAATGCAATTGGGAAAGAAATAAAGAAATTGAAAGTTTGACATGCTTGAATTGCTGAGTGCTTAGATATGTTTTATATGCTATTTTGATTTTATTTTTGCATTTTCACTTTGAACATGTTTTATATGTTATGTTTGTATATTTTAATTTGAGATAATAGACTTTTTAAAGCATTTGGTTTAAAATTAAAGTTTGCATTATTTCTAAATTAATCCATTTTAACAATTTTCTTGATTTATATTGAATCTTTTACTTTTTTGAAGACTTTAAACATTTTGCATCTTGCTTCAAAAAAGCACCTGTGCTTTGCACTTTTAAAACATTAGGTTATCATCATAAAAGCAAATTAACCCCCTTTTGCTTTTTTTCTTTGTCTTTTTAGTTAGTTTAGATAGCCACATATCTACCAACTAACAATGGTTCAGTTGATAGGATCTCTGACTCGTAGCAGAGACCTGGGATCAAATCCCGGTACCATCAGGGTTGGGGGGTTTAAGGGGATGGGGGGATGGGCTACCCCCATTGTGTAGCCCCATGAAGCGAAAAATGATAGCCACATATCTAAACCATACCTGTTTCTATTTCATATATTTTCATTTTCTGAAATTCCTTGGAAGCTGTATGGAATCAAATATCACTATTCCAGAGAATTGATTACATTAAAGATGGTGGAACTGTATTTGAATGACCATGAGGAGGATCAAAAGCATGTTATCAATGAAGTCGTCCAACAAACTAATAAGAGGAGTTACATAATCATCCTGTTGTAACGAGAGAATTAAAAAAAGCGGGCTTCCTAGAATGGAAGCTGCCAATGCAAATTGTGGTGCTGGAGAAAACCTTTGCTTTGACAACCACATATTCTTGCAAAATTCTTTATAAAGAATTTAAGGACTATATTTTTATACTCCATGCTGGCTGAAGAATTCCAGAGCAGACATATAAGTGGATACAATATTAGCTTTCCATTCCTTTAGAGATGAAGGCTTGGATTGTGGAAAATGGTCTCCTCATGTACTCTAGTTTTTTTCATGTGATTTTTATTTTTATTTTTATCTTTTATAAATGAACAGATTTTATTAGCAATGGATAAAAAATGTTACAAGCTTCCCTAGGAAGGTGCAAGATGCAGCCACACCCTAACTCATGTGATACATATGCAATATTTTCTCAAAAACAACTGACAATAATTGCAATATATCTTGTGAAATTGTTCATATAACAAATGATCAGTCCTGAGTGCAGTAAACTAGTATGAGAAAGATTGTGATGATCCAACCTGACGCACTTCCAGTTACAATCGTAACTGATCTATTTGATGCCAAGAGTTGAAGTTCTTCCCTCAGGCTATTGACCTGTGAAATAACAAGTATTTTATCATTATATCCAGCATGCATTTTTATTTCCAGCCTAAATAGGTACAAATATGTCTTTCAATTTTTCAAAAATGATTGGAGGTTGAAGCATATCATTAAAARAAAATTCCATTAGGTTCTTGTAATAATACCAGCCATAATGACACAAACATTGTAATAAATGGTCATTACCCAATGTTGATCCCAACTATTTGGGGTCTTGGGAGGGGACTGGATACAGACTTAACCTTCCCACAATTTTTTTTTTTTTTTTTGCACAAAGTGGCTGCTCTCAGACACAAACCCGCATTGTCACGCTTGTCAGTCTGAGATTTTAGCATTTCACCAAGCAATAGCCCCTCCCAAGAGAACTCATGCAGTCATCTAAAATAGTTGGGAATAGACTCTATTGAATGGAGTTGAGTACTGGGGAAATATCAAGGAAAATTTAATTGCTCTTTGACACATCATGAAAGTCAAGATATCATATAACTAGGGCCACATGCAAATGAAAAAGAAAAGGGTGGGGGAAGAGAGAAAACGAGGAACTAGGATATTCGCACAAACAAGTCCTGCTGTGCTTATCATCCCAAAACTTCACTATTTCTAGATTCATTATGTGCAACAGACAGAACACATTTTGATTGGATGATGTTGCATTTTATCTTCATGATAAGTTCCTATGCTACCATAATGTTCTGAAAATCATTATCATATCGTAAATCATAAAAAAAAGTTGAATCAAATTGAATCGTGAATTGTATCATAAATTGTAAGATTATTTCTATTTTTAAAAAACTTGTCAAAAAATTAAATATAGATATGCTAGAAGGAAAAATATAAATAGAAAAGTGATTCTGTTGTTTTTTAATCCATATTTACCATGTAAGTACCTAAAACAATGGAATTTACCACTTATGCAATAGAAGTCTAAAATGACATAATCAACTTGAAAGTCAAATAATCCACATACAATGGCTCTATATCCTACATATGATAAAATAAACCTAACTCAATATATGGTCTTAAATAACATAAATAAATCAATTACTCATAAAAAAACATAAATACATCAATTTCTAGTAAGGTCCTTAAAACAAGTTGCCCTTGACAAAAATGAATATAAACAAAACAAAATGACAAAGTAGAGAACTAATTCTTAATTGAATTGATTTGAACTGCAGGAATTGTATAAATCATGAGATTTATGAATCAAATCATAAAATTCAAACAAAAATCATAAGATTTTTGCAGAAAAGGATTCAGACATAAGATTCAAATCAAAACCATTGGCATTCAAGATTCAAATTGTGCATTGTATTGTAAATCGTAATATTTTGACAACACAAATCATAATGAAAAAGTACACATTAAACATAAATATTTGGTGATATATTAAAGGTAAAACAATATCAGATAACATAACATTTAAATAATTATTAGATTCCTAATATCGGTTAAACACCCAAAGCATCTTTTCTGGTGTTTAAAATTGTGCATCACTTGAGTTTCAGCCTGGTGTCAGAGTCAATCACTTGACCAAAAAAAAAGGTCAAGTAGTCCAAGAAGTTCCTTCATCAATTTTGACATCTCTGCAAAATCTCCCATGCAAATATTTAGATAAATATCCAATAATCAAACAAAATCATTGAACAATTGACTTTAGGAAAGTTCATCAAGGATCAAATGAAAAGTTCATCACATAGGGCACTATTTAAAATGTATTTCCAGCATGTTCCTAGGTAAATATCCATAGCAGATTAAATATCATTACTGAGGTACTGCCCCTTCACTCGCAGAACTAGAATAGATTACAGGTAAATCAAATATGTGGTTGGTAAATATGCACATAGAACATAGTTTTCAAGGCGCCAAGGCGAGGCTAGGCGACTGGGGGGCGCTTAGTCGCCTAATCGCCTAGGCGATCACTTTTTTTTATGTTAAAAAATAGATCCTAGGGTAGTTCCCTAGGTACCATAACCATATTTCTTTAATAATTATTCATGGTTTTCATAAGAAAAGTATAAACTTCATATTAAAGTATAGAAAACCAATGAGAAGAAAAGGAAGAAGGAAAATAAAATTCAAAAAATATAGGGGCTGAACCCTTAGTAGTAGTAGTAGTAGTAGTAATTTATTGGTTCAGGAAAATGTGCTGATTAGATAAAATTTTTAGTTCTTCCTAATTTATTGGTTCAGGTTTTTAAGTCTTTGAGGGTTCAATACAGCATTTAGCAATGTTTGTGTTGATTAAACCCTAATAAATAAGAAAATAATAAAAAGAAATTAGTATATAAACACAAAAAAATGATTATTTTAGTTTAATAATGTCTATTTTATAATTATAATCTCAAAAAAGAATGAATAAAAAAATATTTTAAAGTAGGAAGTAGAAAACTGTTAGGCGATTGGGCGAGGCGAGCCTCAAAGGGCGCCTTGTTGCCTAGGCGTCGCCTTGACAACTATGACATAGAACTTCCCATAGTTTAAAAGAATAATACATAATTATGACAGATTGAAAGGAATAAAGCATGTAAACCTGTGCTAGGAGTGAATCATTTTGTGGCTTGGCCCTTGACACCCTTGACATGGGAGAATCATCTCTCTTAAGTTGCTTCCAGACAATCTGTTTAAAAAGTGCAAATAATGGAGCTACAGCATTTAGAATGTTATACCCCAAAAAAACATGTATAAATTAAAAGAGAAAGTAGTTAGACTCTAGAAATCAAAGCAACTTTCTTTCATTTTGTACAAATTTGCAGTAATAGATCATCTAAAATGGAAAGTGAACTGCATCTCGCACCTCTTTTTGGGAACCTTCTCTGTGTATCTCTTATAATTCTATTATTAAAACTTCTCATTATTCATCAAAAAAAAGGAAAGTGAAAGAGCCAAATAGAGGGTAGTGAAAGAATATAATTATACAAAAGATCTCAAATGGGAGTATCTATTAGAAATTGAAGGAATATGAATGGGAGAAGGCTTCAACTATCCCTTTGTTGTGCCCCTTAGCTGTACTCCTTTTTTTTATCAATGACCATCAATTTTATTAATTCTGTGCTCTTAAATTTTCTCCTCTTAATAAAACCATTCATTACTAGAAAGATCAGATTACCCTTCCTTCTCAGCCACCTATCTTTAATTTCTCAAATGTTAATTCAACCAAGGCTACTTGAAACTCCATAAGGCAACAAATTTTGACCACATGTTAAAAAAGGGCCATTACTGATTACCTGTTAGTCCTAGCTATCTGGGATGGGAGGGATAGACTGGATACAAAGCTAAACCTGCATATTTTTACACAAAGTAGCCACTTCCAGATTTAAACCCACATTTTCATGCTTGACAGCCTGAGATTTTATCACAACACCAAGCAATAGCCCTTAAAACTGGCATGATAAAACAGATTAGAATATTCCAATCCCCTCCCCAAAAAAAAAGAAAAGATAAGATAAAAACACATTTTGACATATTTTAGTTCAAGGCAATACCCTTCTCAACTATGTTATCAAACTCTTGACTTCAAGACATAATTTTCTTTTGAGGCTTAATAGTGTCATAGTTACACTGAAAGCCACCTCTGCAAATACATGCATATCTTTGTCACCAAATGCTATGTGATGAAGGGTGATTTGGCACGACCTAGCAAGAAGGGGACACGTAGGCGCAATCTGATCGAGGGGTGACAACTTAGCCAAACAAGCCCAGTTCGCAACATTTGGAGCTCGGGTATTCAGCCACCTCGGTCCAAAAAACCACCTCGGTGTAGAGGCACCTCGATACCCAATCCAGTTCGGGACTAAAGAATCGAAGTGCCAGATCGGAGCTAATGAGCCGAAACACCACATAACCGACTCCAAAGGTCTCCCAATAGATCCCGAATTTCTCGAGATCACGATGAACCAACAGATCTCGAATTTTCCGAGATCACGATGAGAACTCGTCCCAGCTCCGCCTGAATTGGAGGTAAACGATAAACCTTATCAACCCATTACTCTCCTTCAAAAACGGAACAAACCTTATCTCCACAACCCAGAGATCCCGGAGCTCTTTCGTAAGGCCCACGACTACTCCAGTATATAAAGCCATGAAACCTCAAGGCAAAGGTACACGTGATTACTCTACTCACTAGCACTCAAGCTTTCAAGCATTCACAATATAAGTACTGACTTAAGCATTGGAGCGACCTCGTCAGGTTAGCTACCCCGGGTTCTCAGATCCACTGTTTTGCAGATTGATCCGACTTACTGCCCAATTGGAGTTCGGATCGCCCTCCAACTAGGAGTAGCCAGATCGCGCACCATCAATATGTATAAACAAAACCCTCTATGCAAATTTTTTAAGGTGAAATGTTGATAATGATGGTATCATAAAGCCATGTATATTTGGGAGATGCATGGGAGATGCATGCAGATCTCTAATGACTTATGCTTTGGCAATTTATGTAAGTGGAAGCTAGATTCCTTCTTTTCAAGATTTCATGCTTCTAAGTAAAAGTAGTGTGGCATGAAAGTCAATCTCTTGAATGAGACAAAATGAATATTGAAGAATAGAAAAAAAAAAAGGAAGGAAAGCACAATTGAAGTATTTGACAGACAACAATAAATATCAAACAAACTAATTAAATTACACTGTTGTTGAAAAATAAAATAGATACCTTAAAAGCACCAGAAAAAAGGTCAGAGACATCTGCTATACGCCCTTCCTTTGCAAGCACAGATCCAAGAACACCTGAAAAACAGATATGATTCATTTGGTCAGCACTACAGTACTTATGTCAAGTGGTATCAATAAACAGCATTTGGAAGTGAAATTGCCTTTTCAGTTAAAGTTCGAAGAACATCTCAAAAGAGGAAAGATGCAAATAAACTGACTTCTGAAATAGAAATTAGTTTCTAATGTCTAATTTTTATGACAGTGCATTATGATGGGGGGGGATACTGTTTTAGGGATCACAATGCCCAATTCAGTAGTCTTCCCATGGTATAACTTTCACAGTTTACTTTATATGATTGACAGTGAAATCAAGGGCAGCTCAAGCATATGTTCGCAAGTGGTTGTCATAGAGGTCTGCAGTATAACTACCTAACCAAATAAAAATAAAGGAGAGGAGGTATAACAGAAACTATTATATCAACCAGTACCTCTACAGCTCAAATGGAGCATATTTTTTGAAAAACAAACCTACCACTCATTAACCTGGGGAAGAAGTTTAACAGTCCATGGTTAATATGTCTCCTGCAGAGAATTTATCACTCCATGATACGTAATGGTAAGACAGACCATGACGGCTGAGTATCATAAAGATGAATCGTGTTGAGCATAATTTCTCTTTCAATAATGTAGCTTTGCAAGTCTGCCCTATATCTTTGATCATCTTGGTCGCTAATTCTCCTAGGGTTTATCACAAACCCTAAACTCATGTCTATGAGAAGATAGAGTGGAAAGGATGATATATGGAAAGTGTAACTAAATTATGACTAAATTCTAGTGAATCTCAAGTGCATAAAGACAGAGAACTTGACCAAAACAGATAAATATGGCCATAGAGATTATATCGAACATGGAGAGAAAAGAGAGAAGAGTAACCTGCACCAACGAGGATGGTGAGCTTCCCGAGAGGAAGCGACATGGCCAGCGAAACCCTAGCAGATTGGTACGAATTGATCAAGCATTGACCTTCCCAAGAAATTGAAGTTCTGCTGGTTCGCTTGTTCGCTTGTCTGCTGGTTTATCAAACTCTCTCTTGTTCGCTTGTCTGCTGGTTCAAATTCTGCGGTTCTGCCCCTCTTGTTCGATAGTCTCCTTGCCTTGCCTCCTTGGAGTGAAATCAACCTAAGATGTAAATGTGTAACAACCGTATTTAGTATTGACAAGATCTTCACCGTATCCGTATGTTTACGTAGAAATCCTCTATTCCGTGAAAAAAATCACGGAGAGATCCTTGATCGGAGAAGAATACGCTTTACTTCCTCCCTCCCCTTCCCCTGGTCCCCCCTCCCCCCAGGCCCCACACCACCTCTCCCGTATGGGAAACGTACTTGCATATCCTCGGATAACTCGGTCCTGAAACGACGGCTTGAGACCAACCCATCGGCGGTTCGTTCGGTAGACCCAATTCGGCCCACCAAATATTGCCACGTCGAATTTATCCAAACCGGATAATTTCCACCTTAGTCCTTAATGGTCCTCTACGAGCAACCTCTGGAACATACTTAGCAAATTGCTAAATTCATCTATATTATATTACTACTGGGACCCGTGCGCATGGGTTTTGTTAATTGAAATAATTAAAACTTATAAATAAATTAAAAGAATCAAAATAATGGTTTAATGGTTCAACCAATTTGATAAAGAAAATTAAAATAAATTATAATAAAATTGTCCAAAATAAAGCTAATTACATAGTTTATGGAAATAATCATAAACAATATAATTTATGAAAGAGAAAGTTAATATAATTTATTAACACTCACATTAAAAAAAGTCAATTTAACTATAAATTATTAAAATAATGTCAAACCATTTTAACTGCCTCATCACTATTGTTGAATCTACAACAAAAAATATTGTAGTCACTATTTTAAAAATATTAATTAATTAATATAGATATAGTTAATGAATATATTAATGATTAAAATACCATTAATTAATAAATACGTCATTTTTAATAAATAATGTTAAATAGCACCTTTTAAATGGATAGAAGTGGATTGCAAGCCCTACTTCAAATCGACCAAAGTGGGGGCAGCCACAAGTGCCTGTTGGGCAAGTTGTTGGATCAAAGAAAACTGGTTTGCTTGGCTATGGAAGTCGGCAATCGGCCACAAAGGTCGTCATGAATATGATGCCCGACAAGTTCGACGATAACTTGGCATTTCAATCCCACTCTCAATGCCAATTGCCAAGTACACTGAGGGGTTGAGGAAGGCATGCGCCGACTATCAAACCAACCCAACCATGGCAACATTCAAACGACTTCAATGACGCCCAACAAGTTCGACAACATGTACTACCAAACTTGCACAAAGGTTTGGGGCTATTGTAGATAGACCAATGTTGGCGGCCGGTGCCAGATTAAGCCATATGTGAACATGTTCACAGCAAATTAGACTGTATTCTTTGAGTCATTCAGTCATGCAACGGAAAAGCCGAGTGTGAAATCCACCACAAATGTAGAGTTCAAATCAGCCCCCCACAACGTCCCACAGCACATCCCTGTTATGTATTGGGAACATCTCTCAATGATAATGCTAGAAATGATAATGTCATCATCAGGAGATATTTCTAATACACGGCAGCCGGCAGGGATGTGTTGTGGGACATTATGGGGGGACAATCTTGTGGGGGATTGATTTGATCTCACAAATGTGATGCCTTTAACAATATCAAAACTTCATTTGGTTGGTTAATTATGGTTCTGATGAAGGGAAATTTGGCCCGACCTACCAATATCCGGACACGTGGAAGCGACCTGCTGATTGGATGATGACTTGTCATTCCCTGCCACCTCAATAAGCCAAGTCACTTCGGCCAAGACCGAGGTCCGAGTAGCTCATAATGGCCCGACTTGTCGAGGTGATACATAGCTAACTTCTAGAATCTAGTCAGTTGTCTCCAACCTTTTCGAGATCACGTCGCACGTTTGCAAGCCTTATCCTTATCCTGTTCGGATCGGACGGACTCGATAAGCCTTATAAGCTCACATGAAGTCCACCTCTTGATGTGGAACAGATTCTTAGTAGCACGGACTGGGGATCTCAGAGACATTTTGTAAGGCCTATGACAACTCACCTATATAAGGGCACCAACCCCAACAACGCAAGGTAGCGCAATTATTTGCTCACTAGCCTTCTAGCATACAAATTTTCCATCTCGCACAAGAATACTAAGTTAAGCATCGGAGCACCCACATCAGGTCCTCTGAGTTTCCTTCTTTTGCAATTCGACCGGCCAGCACAACAAATCGACGTTTGAGCTGCCTTCCAGCTAAGAGCATCCAGATTGCGCACCATTAGTTCTCCCCAAAGAAAATAAGTTTTTTTTTCCTTTTTTGGCAACGAGTAAATGTTTTTTTTTGTTGTCAATTAGGTTTTAAGAGAGAATGGCAAGAAAAAAGAAAATAGAGAAGGTTTAGTGGGGTATTTTGGTAATTTAATGTTATCTATCATTTGAGTTAACAACCAAGGGGGTATTTGTCACAACATAAAAGTTCAAGGGGTCCTTGTCACAAATTAAAGTATAGGGGGGTCTTTGTAATTTACCCTATTTTAAAAATGTTTCTTTTTTTACTAAAAATGTTTTAAAAAAATGTTTCGAATTATGATTTTTTATTCAAATATAAAGGAAAATACACAAATATTTCGGAATAATATATAACCCGAAAGTAATTTAGATTCCAAAAAATATGGACCAACAAGTTCGGGATTTTTAATTTTATGTATTTTAAACTTAAAAATGTATTCCTATTTTAGCATTATATATAAAATATAATGCATGTGTTTGACCAATCATTCACCCTATTGAGTTTATTTAACAAAAAATTGTATTGCTTTTTTATTTTTAATTCTAAAGTATACACTAAGTTTGTGAAGGTTTCCATACATTTCCCTTCCTTTCCCTACTTTTTCCTTCAAACCAAACATAGCCCTAGGAGCATGTTATACAACATGAATGTTTTTATTTTCATTTGTTTTTAAAATCTTCACATTAGAAAAAAAAACATGTTACCAAACTTTATTTTTGCTTTAGAAGTTTATGGAATCATTAAAGTAATGGTTTTTAGAAAAAATAAATAAATTTTGTAATGTAGATCAAGATTCAAATTACCGATATGAATATATAATACGCATCGTATTCGTATTGTATCGACAAAGTTCTGATACACCTGTTTAAAGGTGTTTTTAGGAACTCAATTATTTTATTTATTAAATAAAATAAGAATATTTATAAAAACAAAATTTTGAAATAAAAACTAAAAAAATAAAGAAATGATGATTTAAAGCATGGTTTTCAAAATCGGACCAGACTGGACGGTTGGACCGAAAAAACCAAAAACCAATCACCTAATCAATTCCGTTTTTCCCTAAAACCGTTGATTTTGATCAATAAATCGCTGAACCGGCCGATTAACCGTTCAAACGGTTTTAACCATTTTTTATTTTTTTATCAAAATGAACTATCAAACGGTTAGATCATTCAACCCAATAACCGGATCCCTGACCGATTTGATTGCTGGGTCGGTTTTAAAAATCATGATTTATAGCACGGGTACACTCTTATTGATGCAGCAAACCATGGTGTAGATGTAATCCAATAGGGATACGGGTGAACTTAGGGTCTTGAAGTAGATAAAAATATGTCGCCAATGAGGTTTAGTTAGGAATAACATGATTTCAGATCCCTCTTATAGAGGAAGGCTTCCGTATTTAATTTATGGTAGTGAGGGGACATGCCACATTGCATGAAACAAGAAATTTGGAACATTCTCGAACTTAGGTAATGTCTAAAAATAAACCCCTTCTACTTCTCTTGGGACAAATGTCCCGCAAGGCCACATGGGCGCTAGAGCACAAGGTTTTTAAAAACGAACCGGAAATGAAACCGGTCAAAGGACCGGTTTTCTGTTAAATGGTTCAATCGTTTGGGTTGAACAATTTGACCTGATGTTATAAATAAATTAAAATAAAAAATATATTTATAAATAATAAAAAAATAGTATAAAATTAAATAAAACAGAAAAAAATACAAAAAAATAAAATTAGCTAAATAGAAAAATAACAAATATATAGAATTGTCCTCTCTGTTCTCCTTTCTTCTTCACTGCGATAAAGAGTATAGCCGACAGTCTCTCCCCATTGTTCGTGGTGTTGCAATGAATCCAGTGGATCTCCTCATGGAGGAAGTGAGGGACGCACGAAAGGAGGTAGACCTTCGGTGTCACCAAAGCTGGATTTTTTTTTGAGAGAGTTTTTTTAGAGAGAATGTCTCTTGGTAACTTCGTTATATCAGTTGTTAACTGTCGCAGCGAAAGGTTGAGGCTCACGCTAAAAAGAGCTCATTGATGGTAGCAAGACCCAAATCAGTCTTGGGTTCTAACCCTCTTTGCAAGCTGAAACCTATCGATCGGCCCTGCCAGAACTAACACACAAGAAACCAAATTAATCTTATTGTCTTTCGAAACCTTGATCCTCCTCTCGTATTCTTTTGCAAGTGGAAACGGCAATTTCTACTATTTTTTTTCTTCTTCCTTTTCTTCCTCAGCGAGACCGAAAACCAAGAAAAAGACACCCCACGAACCTTGAAGTTGGAGCCAATTCTGTTGATGAACACGTTTGCACACCAAAGCTGGATTTCGGACAGGGGTGGGGAAACGCAAAAATTATTTTAAAGACGGAGAAAGTTAAAAAACAATAAAATTAATAAATTAATAAAATAAAAGCAAAAGTACGAGGGAGAATGAGAATAAGAATAAGGGAAAATAAGTGAAGAGATGGAAAGGGGAGGAGGAGTAGCGACACTGTTCTCGATGTTCGCGAAGCAGAGCAGATGTGTTACTTCTAAAACAAAAGGAATAGTTTTGAGAGAACTTATGTAAAATCATTGACCGTTACTGTTCTTGTTGCTCCTTGTTGTTGCTAATGACAAAATGAAGGAAATCCGTGGCTGCTCCTTGTTGCTAACAGCCGTAGATAAAATTTTTTTGAGAAAGGAAATCCAGACGACAGCCGCCGGTCATTGTGATTCACCATTGGTCAACGTCGGTCGTGGCTGCCACAGGTCGTCGGTTGCACCATCGAAGTATGAGAAGGAAGGCTGGAACTGGAAGGATTAGAAGTTAGAATGAAAATAACCCTAGCTCATAAGGGAGAATCGTGAGATATGAATGGAATTAAAAAAAAAATCAAACGAAAA